AACCAGCTTCATGTCTCATTGACCAAAAGACCAAGCAGCATTCCCTTAAATTCCTGGGGGAAAAAAGATCTCAGTTTAAGAAACTGACAAAACAAGTTACATTTTTATGGAAGGATTCCACATACACTGGGAATCTTCAACAGTTTATTCCCTAGAGGATTTTAGGTTTAAAGACAGAACAACCTGGTCTAGTGGAAGGTGTCCCTGTCCATGATAAGGGACAGAATGAGATGAAATTTAAAGTCTCTTCCAGCCCAAACCATTCTGGGATTCTCTGACTCTCTGTGGATCAATGATTCAGTCATTACCAAAATCTCCCTTTGGCATGCAGGTATCGTTTGGGGGTGAAGCAGTTTGAGCTGCTGAAGAATGGACTTTACCACCAGAAACCTGTTACAACTAAACCTTCAGGAGGCAAAAAAAAAGAATCCCTTGTTTATTATCGGGTGCCCTCAGTGGTGTTGGACAGACTGTGCAGAGCTGGCTGGTCACGGAATCCTGGGTGTTTCACCAGCATTTGTTCCCCACGTTAATAGATTCACAGGAGTGGGTGTTGGTGTTTTATTGGCCAGAATTTGTGTGTAACAATTAGTTTGTGATCCTGGCTGAGTGGCTGCCTTCAGAGTTATTTGGAGGAGGTGGTTTTTCATGGCTGAGAGTTTTTCTTTTCTGAGCAGGATGCACAGGAGCTGAAGAAAATTCCTAGCAGCGCTAGCTGCTAATCATGGCTATGGGAGCTACAGCCCTGAGTGGAAAATCAGGAATTTCTGTTGTTAATGATGAAGTGTGAGATGACTGTTTCATTCTGTCAGAACAGCATCAGGGAAACAATATGGGGTCAGCTAAAAATTAGGGAGGGGAAGGAACAAAAGGCTGGCAGAAGTTTGCACCTCAGCCATGGCAGTGGGGTAAATGTCTGAAAGGAAATAGAAACCAAAGTGAGATCATGGAATGGTTGGGTTGGATGGGATCCTGAAGCTCATCTAGTTCCAACCCCTGCCTCGTAGGTACTATATTTCCTTTTCCAGAAGGTCAATCTTGGCTCTGCTGACTTCAAAAACCATTTTTAAGGCTTCTCACCTGCCAGCATCTTCAAGGGATCACTTTTTGAAACATTGATAATTTGCTATTTAAAACCTAAAATATTTCAGTAGAACAAATTGATGATCGCTTCACCACTGAGTCGTTACTGAAGCAGGCAAGGTTTGGAGCTCACAGAGGGCACCCAGAGCAGGCAGATTTTGCTGGTTGCTGTGTGTTCAGGTGAGCTGGGTGCTCCACAAGCCCTGGTCCCTTCACCAGCGCTGGGTGTGTTGTTTTCTTTCCACCTTGGCTCCAATCAATCCGGGGCTGGCGGCTTTTCATTAGCTGCTGCTGCTCCCACGGTAATGTTGGGATTGCAGAGCCTGCTGGCAGTCTGTAACTTCCCCAGGTGCCCTGGAGCTCAGCAGCCTAAGCTGATTGACTCAGTTAGGGCCCCAGTCCCTAACAGCAAATGCAATCAATAAATCTTTGTTGGTAAATAATTGCTATCGAACAGAGTTTTAATATAAATTTATGAGTGGTGTTTTATCACAGCTTGAGGCTACAGCAAGCCACTGAGTGATGGATTTCAGATCACACTTGCATTCATTACATTAACTTTGTAAGTTATTTAAAGCTTGTACACTTAACATTGCTTTTGGCTTGCAATGACCTCCTGGGAGTAGATGTAGCACACACATTACTAATGGAGAGCCGGCTCCGTTCGCTCCCTGGATCCTCCAGCAAAACCCAGGGACTGAGCTCCATGCACTCCACTTGGAGCCTTTTTCCTCCAGCTCCTTCAAACCACAAGCTGGAGGACTCACCATTCCTCCCTTCAACACAGAGTTGTAGTTTTGGAGGGAAGGTGGTAAAAAAAAAAAAAATTAAAAATCTATTGGAGGTGTGAAGTTCTTGTGGGTTTGTGTGGAAATCAGAGGTGTTAAATCCTTAGTGTTGAGTCTGGAGGCTCTGGAGCTGCACCCAACTGCCCGTGGAGGGCTGTGAGAAATTAAAGATTTCCTAGAAGTTAGGGAAAACAGCATCATCCAATTAATAACTGTTTGAGGCAGGGACTATTTAGACCCAAAAAATTGGTATTTGGAGTAGAAGATTTATGTAGGCTCTTCCTGCCTAGCTTGGGGACTCAATGGGATTTTTCCAGGGTGTTTGGCAGTGACTGGGGACGTGCCCAAGCTGCCTCTGAATTGCCTTGGAGGTGCCAGGGGCCAGCAGGAACCCCTGGATCTCATTTCCTCAGCACAGGATCTGATGTGACTCAAACATAGCCACAATGTGACTGAAGCAAGGGACTTTTTTTTTTTTTTTTAAATAACATTTCCTGTCATGTGGGCCATTTTTTTTACGTGTAGCTAACGTTAAAGTGCATTTATAACTGATCTAAACTCTGATTCTAAGACCATTTCTCCAGACCATTCTATAAAATTACCACAAAGTGGTGGCCTTGGGGATAAAATCTGTGGTTTATATGGGCTGCTTTGCTTTATAGCACTTTAAGTTAGCTCCTTGTATTCACAGCAGTTTGCTCTCCAGGTACTTCAAGATACTTTTAATTATCACATAATGTGAAAATGATTCTGTTTGCCAAAGGAATGCCTGAAGAAAATGGATTGGGAAGTCTGGTTTGTGAGCTAGGCACAAATAGGTCCATCATCCCTATTCAGTTCTGAGCTGGGTGGGTTGGTTTTTGTTTGGTTTTTTTTACATCAAAGCACAGAGTTCTGCTTTAAAAACATGGTAAAACCTCATTTTGAGTAATTTTCTTCATTTAGATCCAAAACTAGAATGTCATAATTCCTACTTAGATAGCAGCAAAACTTTAAGTAGTAAAAATCATGACGGTCATAGATTTTTTACTCTTTATTGAGACTATAATTGACACAAATTGAAAATTATGTAAGTAATAACATGTTTTCTGTATAACAAAGGGGCAGTTAAAAAGTTATGAAATATGTACATTTTACTGGCTTCAAAACTTGAAAAAAGAAGGCAAAGGGAAAAAAAAATCCCCATTGTGATCCTTAGTCCTTTTCCCCCATTAGAAGGTCTGAAGAACAAACCAGTGAAGAGAAACAGTAATTTTTGATCCCCACGGCACAGCACTAACTAGAATTGGGTCCCCCTAAACACCAGTGCTGTGCTGCAGGTGAGGTATGAAAGATGGGAAAGGTGAAGAGACAGATCACCTCCTATAGACAAACAGGAGAGTCAAAGGCAGAAATAAGCTTTCATTTTTTAATAGAAGAAAACAACGGCTGCAGGCGCCGGCTGGCAGTAATTGGGATGAGCGGGAGCTTTTGTGAGGAGGCGTTTCAGAAGCCCCGTTCTCCTTGAAAAAGTTTGAGTTCTAGCAAGGAGCAGAACAAAAAAAAAATAAAATAAAAAATACAGACGTGTGGCCCAGAGGCAGGCAGAAAGTTGGGAGTTTGGATCACTGTGCTGTTCAGTGTCCAGCAGAGCTTTTCTTCATGGTCCCACCATGGATGGAGTGTGTTGGGAAGGGTTCTCCTCTGAAGTTCTGCTCCAGCTGTGTGGCCAGGAGCAGGGCTTCTGCTTGAGTGGAGCTGACCTGTGTCCCCTCCTGGCTTTGGGACAGGGTCTGCAGAGGGATCACTTCATAAAGCTGCAAGTTTAATGGGGAAACAAACAGTGGAACTCGTTTTCAAGGCTTAAACCACTTTTAATGACTCCACGGGAGTTGGAAGCGCCGTGCTTGATAGGGCATCTTTCTGTGTTCTGTTTTCCCTTTGTTTTAATTGCCTTGCACAGTGAGAAGGGGAAAACTTGTTTTATAGGGATTAGGGAGCTGAAGTTTGTGTTGGGTGGATTGCTGGTTGGGATTTATTGAAATGGATATGTGTCTGCTTTGCTCAGAGCTTGATCTGTGACACCAGTGTGTCCCTGTGGTGGGTACTGAGCATGGGATCTCCACTGGACACTCCAGTAAGGCTTTGCACAACCACAACACTGCCTGGATCCATTAGGAACTGCCTTCTGGCTTGGGTTGAAAATTAAAATTTCCTAAGGAAGCGCATCCTTCGTTTACTACCTGGAGAGTTCTACAGCACATGGTATTTTATCTTTCAAAATGAATTTCGGTTTTGCAGCTGAGAACAGGTCAATGTACAGTAGCAGTTCCTGTCTGTTTGTCTGTTGGAACACAATGATGACTTTTAATCTTTGCTGTTGATGAGAAGTTGTGGCTGCCCCATCCCTGGCAGTGTTCCAGGACAGGTTGGACAGGGCTTGGAGCCATCTGATCCAGTGGAATGTGTCCCTGCCCATGCTGAGGGTTGGAACTGAATTTTAATGTCCCTTCCAACCCAAACCATTCTGGGGGGGATTCTGTGACTGTTGTCATTCATCCTTGATTGAATATTGTGGAAAGGAGATTCACTTTGCCCACCTCCTTTCTTCTCTAGTCACTCCTCTGTCATTAAATTTTCCAGGATTTACTTGAAACACTTTGTATTTGCTCTGGTTCTGTTTTGTTACTCTTGCCTGGGATTGGGGTTTCTTTTGCTGGAGTGAGGGGTTTCCATGGTGGTGTCCCCCTTTTGCAGAGGGAATGAGAACACAGCTGTGTGCTCTTCTGTGGGCATGGAATCCCCAGGAGATGCTGGAGGAAGAGGCCACACAGCAGGGTAATCCCTCAACCTGGGCTCATCATTTATTTTAGAGGGTTAGGAAATGCAGAGCAGGGTGTGTTTATCCATTGGGAATCCATGTGGGTCACACCACAGTGTGCTTTCCTGAGGCATGGAATTCAAGGAAAAAGAGGGTTTTTCTACCCACTGGACAAAGCCAGTGGAGGGAATGTGCATTGTGGGAGAAGAAGGGGAAAGCCTGTCTGAAAATGCTCATCTGGAAAGGCAGTTCCTCTTCTCTCTGTGTCTTAGGCAGTTGTGTGTTGTTTGTGCTGCCATTTCACCTTTTCCCTCTCTGTGCCCCACCAGGGGATGCTGCTGAAGCGGAGTGGCAAGTCCCTGAACAAGGAGTGGAAGAAGAAGTACGTGACGCTGTGTGACAACGGCGTGCTGACCTACCACCCCAGCCTGCACGTGAGTACCCCTGCCCTGGGAGCCCCAGCCCTGGCAGCAGCCTCAGCCAGGCCTTGGTGGCACCTCTGTGCTCAGGAGCTTCCTGCCCTCTCCTCATTGCCCTCCCTCCCAGGGAACCATCACCTGAGGTCTGAGTGCGCCCCAGTTCCTCTGACTCCTCTGGGACTGGGGCTTCCCTGCATCCCAAGAGCCTGCTGGAACTGTTTAAAGCCTTCATTTCCTGCTTTGTTTTCTGTTTTATTTTCTTTTATGGGCTTGTTGTTGATCCCAGGGTTAAAAACCAACTGGTTTCACAAGAAAAAGTTTCCTAGAGGTAGTAAAGAGTGAGGAGAGGTCTTTGTCAGTGTGCAGGGCTTGTGGTTTATTCAGGAGTAATTCTGAGCAGCTTTTTGGAAGTTGCATAGCCATTAGAAACTGTACTATACAACTTTTCCATGTTGAGGCATCTATCCTTGTCCCAAGGATGCTGTCTGTCCCTCAGAGTGTGTGGCACAACTCCTAGTCGGGGGTGGAAGGAGCACAGAGATCCCACTCACGACTAGCCCACCCCAGAAATCATGGTGTGACCCTCACCAAGGTAGAATATGTATTATACATATATAAAAATAGAGACAGACAGACAGACAGATAGATGATAGATAGATAGATAGATAGATAGATAGATAGACAGACAGATAGATGATAGATAGATAGATAGATAGATAGATAGATAGATGATAGATAGATGATAGATAGATAATAGATAGATAGATAGATACATACATACATATATAATAGATAGATAGATAGATAGATAGATAGATAAAGATAAAGATGTGAGATATATGGATATTTGATATATAGATAGAAATATCTACCTACATATATAAATATATAAAAATAAATACAAGTATATAAATATATATAAAGATACACATGTATGTGTGGTTTTATATAATATCTGATCTTGTATTTTATCATCATCCCACACAAGCAAATCAGAGGGTTGCCACTTGTAATGTTTTTAGGGCCAGTTGTTTCTAAACCTGTTGGTGGCATCTTGAGCTCCTGGTCACGTTTTTATTAAGGAGTGAAAATTAAGGTTTTGATGCATTTTCTATTAATTTTGGGGTTTACAAACCTGCACCTGGAACTGGCAGGAAACTTCTGCTTTAGCTGGGTGGTGTCTGAGGAGCATGGAGCCCTAGAATCATTAAGGTTGGAAAGCACTCTAAGGTCATCCAGCCCAGCACTAAACCCCCTCCCCAAGTGCCACATCCATGTCTGGCCACGCTGATGCTGTGCTTGCCCCTGTCTGTGGAATATTAGCACTTTTTCCCTGCCTTGACACAAGGTTTTATGGTCTCAGGTCCTGCCATAATGATGCTTTGCTGTGGTTTCTGATGTGATGTCCATGTCTCTTACACATTATGTGGTAAATGAGATGACAAGTAGCTTCCAGGCATTGCTGCTTCCCATCAAAAACCTTGTCCCTCAGCCCTGATGTTCTGGAGCAGGGTTTTCACTGCTCCTTTGTGTGATGGAGCTCATGTCTTTCTGCCCAATTTTAGTGCCCAAACGTGACTAATTCTGCTGTGAAGTAGCCCTGAAACACTCAGATTTGTGTGTTGGCATTGCTCCCAGAAGGGAAGCAGGGATTCTGCATGTTCCATGGAGCACACCTGAGTGTGCCTCAGATTGTGCTGGTCACCAAGCAAGGATGAGGCTGTTGTGTGTGCCCTGGCCCCTTCCTGGCTGCTGGAAAAGGCTCTATTGTTCCTGGCAGGGCCGTGCACGTGTGAGCTTTCCATTGCTCTGGCAGACAATGGAGAAACTTCTCCTGTGCAGGCTCCCCCGGAGCGGCGGCGGCGCCCCCAGAGTGAGAATCCACTGAGGTTACACGTAATTACTTTGAGATTAGAGGTAAATCCATCGGAGATTAGAGGGAATCCATTTAAAGAAGAAGTAATTACCAGCCTGTAATTGTTTCCCTCTGTCCTCCACCGTGCCCCCCCACCCCAAGAAGAAGGTGCTGGGCTCGGTGTTGCCTTCTCCTCCTTGTGTGGATCAGAAGGGTTTGTGGGGGAACCACAGATATTTTCAGTCACACTCCCAGTACACTTTGTACTAAACTTTGTTGGCAGGAGCATCACAATTTCTTCTTTGGGATTGTCAGGTGAGAGGGTCTTCCCCCAACCAGAGCTCTGATACTGTGTTTCTGGTTTGGTTTTGCTGGTTTTTGTTTGTCAGTAATTTTTTGTTCCTTTTTTTTTTCACAAGAAAGCGATGAATTTTTAATGCTGTGCTTGCATTGCTGTCTGGGATAATTTCTTACATTGTTTTGAAAAATCAGACCTTATTCCTACCAAGTTTCCCATTAAGCAGCAGTGAAGAAAAGAGCTTTTGTTTGCTGTGTAAAGTCAGTTTCCCAAACTTGTGCAAAGCCTAGCTCTAATCAGATTTGGGTTGCTTCAAATGTGTATATCATTTGAGTTCATCAAAATGTTGGTTTTTTTATTCTGGAGTGAATTTTTAATTGCAGTGAAAGGTGGGCTGGCCTCTGGTGGTGGCAGAAAAAGGAAATCTAGGGGATCATTTGGTCTGTCCGGCCTGTGGTTTGAGTCAGAGCCTAACACCCGGTGCCAATTTGAAGGGCCAATTACAATGTTTAGTGGCTGATAGTGAGCACTGTGTTAAATATTGCTCGAGGTTTGGCCACAGGTGCATCAGTTGTCTCTGCCAGATGCATTCGGTAGCAGCTCAGGCAGGAAGCAGTGGTTTAAACACAGAAAATAGGTACTGCAGAATCCAGCCCTGACATCCTCCTTGAAAGCATTGCCTGCACAATGAAAGGTTTTGGGGTGGGGAGGGAAAAATCAAATGAGGCCCTTTTTTGCAGAGGAGGTGTCCCTGGGAGGGTCAGGCTGTTTGGCAGGGCAGCGTGCTGAGACGAGCGCGGCATTGTGCCAGCCTCACGAGCGACTCCCGGTGCCACCAGGTTGATGTTTGACACAATAGCAAAATCCCTCTCGTTTCTTTTCAAGAAAGTGGGGGGAGAGGGAAACGGGGGAAGAAAAATATGTGTACATAAGCACCCTACTGTTTCCTGACTTGGTCGTGTCAGGTTTTTTCAAGAGCCTCAAACCTTCCCGTCCCTTGGGACGCCGAGGAGCTGCGCCGATAGAAAATGGTTGGGGATAATGAGAGAGAACTTTGACCCTCAGGCTTCAAAGTTCACCAGAGCTCCCTATTCATCTTGGGCTTCTGGAGCAGAGCTGTGGAGTGGATCACTAAAATTCTGGCCGGCAAATTCCGTGTCAGCCTCCCCAAAGGGCCCCGGGGGAATTCGCCGAGGCATCTCCTGGCTTTTTAATGGCGGGATGCTCCCGGAATGCATTCACCAGGATACCTGCTGGGCAGCCTTGCTTTATCTGAGCCTTCTCCTGATGAATAGCTGATGATGTTTCACCACTGGCTGCCTGCCACAGGGCTGCCAGCGTGCCACGGGTCAGCACGTGACACAGCTTTAGCTGTGGATGTCCCTTCTCTGCTCTCGTGTCTTCACCATCGCTGCGCCTCGGTTATGAAAAGAAGGAAAAAGGGAAAAAAGGCTGAAAACAGCTATGTTTTGGTAAGGGGAGTTCTCCCCTTTTATGTTTAATTTGGTCTAGATTTGATTTCAGTGCTGGGGCACCTTATGGGGGAAGAAGAGCTTCTTAAATACATGAGAAGGAATGCCCATTCCCCTAGTGATGCCCACCTAGAACACAGCGGGTACACAAACCCCATGTGCCCATCAGGGTTGGTGTTTGCTGGCTGCAGCCTTTAACCTTCGCCTTCACTGGTCTAGTGTGATCACCTGGGGATTGCAAATGTGATTGAGGGGGGAAATCTGGCTTTATCTCCATGAGGGAGGTGTGGATTCACCTGGTTTGCTCAATTCATCTGACAGGAGCCACAGTTCCAAATTCTCCCCTAAATACAGTGCTGGCTGGCTGAGCAGCCCATGTGAGCGTTAGCAGTGTTGTTCTATCCTCAAATAGATTGGATTTTTTTTTTAAAAAAAGGCAGCATTTCAGCCTGATGGAGAATCAGATCCAACACTAGGCTAAACTTGGCACAAGACCTTCAGCAATACATTATATGGACACATTCTCTGGGAAGACCCTACAAACAAGTTAAAATTCCTTAAGGCTTGAGGTGTTGTTTGAGCTTTCTCTGCTTGGCCATTTCTTCCAGAAAAAGCAGATGGTGAGAAGCAGGAGGCTTTAGAGAATGTCCTCTGTGTTGGTATCTGGAAGTGTTGTACCTCCATGCATTTTTCTCAGGTCCCAGCATTTCTCTCAGAGCTGCAGTTGAAATTTTTGCTACCAGCTCTTGTGATTTTCCTGAACTGTTTGGAAACAGAAAGCCTGCTTGCAAATGCAGGATCCCATCTCCCCTCATCCTTGAGAGCAGTGTGCTCTCCTGTGTGGTCAGTCAGCCCCCAGAGCCTGGTGCTACTCCAGCGAAGGAACCATGCTCCCCTTCCCATTAGGAATATCCCCCACAGCTATCGTTGCAGCTCAGCTTTATTTCCAGGTTGTTGCCTCAGGCAGTTCAATAGCTCTGAAGTGTGTTGTTTGTGTTGCTTTAATAAAAATATTCATGCTCACATATTTCTAAAATACCATCATGTATGTCCATTTTTTTCCCCCCTGTTTTTGCTCTGAAGGAACGTAAAGTTGGATGTTGGCTGGCTCTGAAGGGCCTTTCAAGTGGCATTTCCTAAAAACAGCTAATCCTCAAATCAGTCTTTAGGCTGACAAAAGGACCCTGGAAGTGCTCAAGGCTGGGCTGCAGAGGGTTTGGAGCAACCTGGGATAGTGGAAGGTGCCTGTCCATGGCAGGGGGTGGAACAGGATGAGCTTTAAGGTCTGCCCCAACCCTAACCACTCTGGGATTCTGTGGTACTTTTCATATGTGATGTGGCTCTCCCTCCTGAGAGAGCAGTGATCAAAAAAACACATCCTGCAGCTTGA